TAAAGAAAAACAAATTTCAACAACTGAGTAATAAGTTATTAACAAATGAGCAGTTGGTGTGTACAACTGTGTATGCCAAGCATGGTGATTGGCAATAGATTGCGGAACAGAGACCGACGTCAAATAAAGGAATGAAGAAGCTGGCATCATCATCCGTTATATTTGCATGAGTGAGTGTTTCAACAAATGCCTATTGCTTTTTTTTTAAACCCCAAGCTGTTTAGGCCTGATCTCGTGTCATTGCGGACAACGTTCAATTGTAGCCATAAACAAGAAACTGCCCAATTAATTATACCTTGGCCGTTGTTAATACATTGAATAAAAATTTGCCATACAAAAACTATTGTTAAAGGGTGTCCACGATGAAATTGCCACACACAAAATTGATTCGCAAAATTCGAGTTTTCATCCGATTGCCATCAAATTTTCAGGGATTGAGAAATAACTATTAAACTTCATTTTACCATTTTACTCGTATTTTATTTACAGTCCATACGCAAATGCCCGCACCTTGGCCTTAACCCCGGCCATGAGATTCTGCACAACCTGTGAATCAACCGTTTTTTGCATGTAAACCCATACTTTCTTCAGTTCCTCGACTGTCTTCACTACCTTAGGTCGTTTAAGAAGGTGCTGCTTCATAATCGCCCAGTACTTCTCGATGGGGCGGAGCTCCGGAGTGTTGGGAGGGTTGAACATTTTCGGCACGAAATTGACCTTATTGTCCGCATACCACTTCAGCACGTCCTTGGAGTAGTGGCATGAGGCCAAATCCGGCCAGAAGATTGTTGGGACGTTGTGGGCCTTCAGGAGAGGAAGCAGCCGCTTCTGGAGGCACTCTTTTATGTACACCTGTCCGTTCATCGTGTCCTGGGTCACGAAAGGTGCACTCCGCTTCCCGCACGTGTAGATGGCTTGCCAAACCAGGAATTTCTTCGCAAATTTGGACATCTTCTGAGTGCGGACATGCTCCGGAACGCTGAACTTATCCTTGGCCGTGAAAAACAGGTTGCCGGGGTTCTGTTTGAAGTCGGCCTTCACATATGTTTCGTCGTCCATGATGCAGCATTCAACTTTCGTCAGCATGTTGAGGTACAACTTCCTGGCACGGGTTTTGGCGGACTTGTTCTGCTTCTCGTCGCGATTAGGGGCCTTTTGTACCTTGAACGTTCGAAGCCCAGCCTTAGTTTTGGCCTTCTGGACAAAACTTCGGCTTAGGTGCAGCTTCTTAGCCACATCCCTAACGGAGGCGTTCGGATTTCGGTTGAAGGCCCCAACTACGCGGTTGTGATTTTTGGTGTTGTACGGAATACTTTTTCCTTCACTTCTGGGCTTCCGATCGGTGGTCAACCGTTCCTCGAACCGCTTAATCACTCGCGACACCGTGGAATTCGCGATTCCCAACGTTTTAGCGATGGAACGATGCGAGAGATCCTTGTTCTCGTGATGAATGCGCAAGATTTTATCACGCACGAGCTGTTCTTTCGACTCCATTTCCGCGAGTTTTGATCACAGGACTTTAAAACTTGCAAGATGTAAATAATGCACTATGAACTAAATCCACCCAAATTTTCATTAAATTCTACCCAACGGTTAAAAAGTTAGAGCAATTTCATAGTGTGGCAATTTCATCGTGGACGCCCTTTATGCAATAAAACCCAGCAATTATTAATTTTATGCTAAAAATAATAAAAATACAATAGACATTTTTTGTAAGTATTATAATATCTATTGTAAATGAGACTTTTACAATAGAAAAGGGGGATTTTTAGATACCGTAAACATAAAAAAAAATCAATTTTTTCTCCAACAAATATCTTCTCAATTTTAAATGTTTTTTTTTTATTTAGTTGAAGATGCCAACTTTCAAATAACAGACTTTAAGTGTTCTTTTTGTATGATATATGAGGAGATGAAAGTATACCGTTGATATTTCGGTTAGAGTACAGCAGTGTTAAAATTATATGTAGAGAGTAGAAAGCGAGCAAAGACAACTTTGAGGAAGGTACGAATCGGGATAATCATCTCTCTTTACCAAACTCTCCCGTTGAAGAGGTATGGTGAGGGGTATACCTGATGATCACCGATTTGCTCATGTGCCGACGATGTTTGAAACAGTTATATCGATTGTACTGCACTCAAGTTGTTATCTGAAAGGAGGCATCTAGTAGTAGGTTTGTAAATTGCAACTATTGTAATGGTAAAGAGATTAACCCGATTCATACCTTCCCCAAAATTGTCCTTGCTCGATTTCTACTCTCTATGCACTATTTTCACACTGCCGTACTCAAACGGAACTATCAACTCTATACTTTCATCAACTCATGTATCGTATAAAATGACCACTTAAAGTATGTTATATCACTGTTAGGATCCAGAATAAGTTGATAATGTGAACACAATCAAAACAAAATGGAGTACATTGTGAAATGACTTACTTTAACAATACAATAAGATGGTTTAAAACTAAATGAAAGTGGTCAACGATGAAGTTCGTGATTTCGTATGTGGCAAAGCATAGAATGAACTCATCAATATTAGGCCTTCATGTGAGAGTAAGGTAACAAAATAGCGTAAAATGATGATTTATTTGTTTATATTATTTTTCTACTTTAATTTTGTGTGGCTAATTTTTGCTTGTTCCACCCTTTAAGGTGATACTCTAAGGAAACCTTAGCGTGAAACTTTGAAGACACAAATGGCAGCTTCCACAAAACATACAAATTTGAAATTGCTACTGCTTGTTTGCTATGCTACTACAAACAGAGAGTAGCTATTTCAAATTTGTATGTTTTGTGGAAGCTAACATTTGTGCCTTTGAAGTTTCACGCTAAGGCTTCCTTAGAGTATCACCTTAAGAACCTAAAACATATTCATTTCCAGTTAATTAAAAAAAACGAATCGAAAAAATAGGACATCTAGCGTGACTACACCCAACCGGGGGATGTAATATTCGCTTACAATTATGTGGGATTCATCATCAGAGGATGTAAGTGGAGACCGCATGAACCGAGGATGCGATGTACCTAGCTGCGGTCCAATGTAAGAAAATTGGAGACCAAACAATGTAGAGTGTATTAGTGAGGTAAATTAGTTATGTCGAAAAAAATAGGAAACAGACAGCCGACTGGACTCGAACCACGAACGTTGCGATTATCAGACCTGTGCTTTCTCCACTGCTCTCTCCATGCTTCTGAATATAAATAGCCTAAAAGCAAACGTGAAGCGCTCATTTTCTCGCATACTCAACTTCGTATGCTTTTTCTGCTGGAGAGATTCGAGATCGAGGCAAGTGTGTGCGTCGTTCTACAATGTTCAACAATGTGCGTCTTTCTACAAGCTTACTGGTATTGTCGAAAGCGTAGATAGAACACGAAATAAAAAAGACAAAAAACCATTACATCGCCTGCATGGTCAATTTCTAACATTCGTTGCGATGTTCATGAACAGAGGATGATAGGAAACGGAACTAACATTCGTTGTAATAGATTTTTGGTTTGCGTGTAGATTCCCTTTTATATAAGCTTCATATATCATTTTACGGAATTCAATTGATGTCCAAAGTTCGAGGCAAATGAATGTATTTGAATGTACGAAATGAATGTTAATGATTTTCCATGCCTGATTAAGAGTAGAAAAAAAAAAGTTTGACTCGCTAAAAGGCTGAAATGCCGAGAAAATCCTCTTCCGAAAAATATAGATGGCAATCTTTCAAACTGATGACTTTGAACCTAAAATCTAACCTTTTTTTAAATTCTTCAGAAACCTTTGCCCTAACACCCTTCCCTGGTTACCGCTCTGACAATGTCCACCCTATCGCAGGGAGCAAATACAAGGAAGACCTCCCGATTCTGAGTCCTACATTATGAGTGCACGCTATGCAAAGTGTCTGCGAATCCTACGCTTTATGCCATCTATTTCGTAGCCGATGTCTTCAACTCCACCACCACCACCACCATCAGGCCCCAGTGGTTCAACTTTGTTCTCGAAGAGACAAAATTCAATTACTGATGGCAATCATAAAATTACACAATGTATGGATGTACGCATATGCGCACACAGACCATTTCATACCAGACCGGGATTGTCGACGTCGTTTTTGCAAAATTCGATGGCGCTGCTAGAGCAGAATGTAGGATAAAACTTTTATTTACATCGCGAGAGTATGGATATTTTTATGTACTTTGTGTGTTCGAGAGTGTTCGTGATGGGACACGAAATGGCTGTTAAATGGAGGAAGTTATGGTTTGGAAAAAATGGTTTGTTCAATCGCTGTAACAAGAAAGTTCTGCAATGTATCAGCAGACTCGATGACCACTTTCTAATTCAATTAAGAAGGTTCATTTCAATAAAGCTAGATGGTAGAGATAGATTCAAATCAATTCCATTCCCCTGATCAACATGTGTGGAAAATCTGCTCTTAGATCCCATTCCCAGCAAATCTGCCATCCCAGTTAATTATGCAAAGTAATACGATCCCATCACATCAAGCAGTTAGGAACGGCATGAAGGTACGTTTCTATACACATTCATGGTCTTGTCCTAGCACCAGCTGAAAATTGTAAAGTAGGTATTTGCACGTTACTATCCCACATCCTCGTAATTTTATCGAACACCCAATCTATATATCGATCTCTTGGATTTTTTTTTTCACTTTTCAACTATGCATGTTTCCTACCGCTATCGTTCCCCAAATCCCACATCCGCCCGCAACCCACCCACTTGTATGCTCCCTGTTAACAGCCTGGCAGTAGGTCTCCCCTAGTTGCATTGCCTGTATTTATGTTTGTACAACCACATCGAGAGCCGGGTGATACCATAGACATTCAATACTCCAACTGAATTAAAGAAACCTTACCGGTAGAAGAGCACCCACACGGTAGCCACCGCCACCGTCACCTCCGACACGGAAAATGTCGGACGGGGGAGTGCGGGCGGTGCAGCCTGTGTGTATCCCATTTCTCCATCAACCTAATTTGCATAATTCAATTTTGTTGCAGCCGGCCGCTGGTCGCAGTGGTCCGAGTGGAGCGAGTGTGCACCGGACTGTACCCAGACGCGTCATCGGTCCTGTATCGGCGGACCGGTGGTGGCCTCATCCTCGTCCTCGGCGGCAGCTGCCCTGGTAGCGAACACGACCCTGGACAAGCAACCGTACGATGGTAGCACGATCAACTGCGTCGGCAAGAGTCTCCAGTCGGCCAAGTGTACCGGCGGAGCGTGCAGCTACAGCGTTCAAGGTAGGTGGACTCAGTTTGGGGATTGATTGATTTTTTTTTTTTTCGGGTGCGTATGAATTTTTGATAGAGGACTTGGAGTGAACTTGCGCCAGAATCGTTCCAATGCGTGGCAGCAACAATTTAGTTTTAAACAAATTGAACGGACTTGTTGTGCAATTGTGGTGGACATATCAGAGAAATGTTGTTAGTTTTTTTTAAAAAGTAAGTGAATGAATAGGATTTTGAATCTAATTTCCGTCCTACTAAGCATAACCAATAAAATGATTCTACCATAGTTGACTTCCAAATTAATTTACCTTTCAATACGTACCGTTGGATTTAATAATGAGTCACAAATTAGTTAGATATTGTAAGAAATCCTACACTGCTTCTTGATTGCAAATTCGTTCTACGAGTTTCAATTCCGTCCTAACGTATTGAAACGCCATTGGTTTTTCTAGGGTTTTCTTCGTTCTACGAATGCAGACAGAAAAAAATGGATTTGCTAGGAGAGCTTCTTTTGTTATGAGAATAATGAGTTTAAATATTCATACAACGCACTCGTATAGGCTTTGTGTTGAAGCTTATGAGCTAACGCATCGAAACAAATGTATTATTGATTTGTGTTCGGTGAAATCATAGATATTATTGATCATTCTACTCGATAGAATGGAAATGGGTGATTACGACGAAGTACCGCTCTACCCTATTCAAAATTAATTTTCTCATTCTATTTTTTATAAACATTGCAACAGTTGACTACTCATCAATCATATGGCAAAATTTAAAAAGCAATTCTTGTGAAATAACTTAAATCAAGACTATTTAGGGGCTGTTCATTAACTACGTAGACAGTTTTTTGGAATTCTTGACACCCCCTCCCTTTGCGTAGACAATTGTCCATACATTTTTTTTTTAATTTGCATGGGCCGTGGATAATTGAACAGCCCCTTACTGTCTGTCACCTGATGGACCAGGAAGGATATGTATTTGTATTTCTGGTTTTCAATTTTTATTTTGTAGCTATTTCTACGATGTTGAATTTTTAAAATTTGACCGTACACGACGCCGTTGACAAAACAATAGCCTAGCCACTCACTCCGGTCTATCAAGCAAATAGCTAATTAATTTAGCAATAATACACAATAGTAATGCAAAACTAATAGCACATCTGCTGTGAAATTGTAATCCGTAAAAGAATTGCCTATTTTGGAACAAATTTATTACATTTATTGCTAGATTTTCAAAGAAAGAGATGAGAAAAAATTTCATATTTTTCGATTTTTAGGCGCCATGATCTTGTCGTTTTATTGCACTAAAAAAAACAACACTGCGGTGGTCATCAAAAAACCTGATAATTTCATTAATTGAAAGGACTTACCTTTTTGTAACATGCTAGTCTAATAAATCAATGTCGCAATTTTCACTACAATTACTAATTTAGAAGATTGAACGCTATCTGCGCTTTATATTTATGGGCCAAACTTTAGGGACGTAATTTTGAGACGTGTATTTAATTATTTATGGCCTACGAAATGTATATGATGACCATATATTAGTATTGGTGAAACCATTTGCGTTACCGACGACTCTTCACTCCTGTTGGAAAATCCCATAAACAAAAGTCAGTTTCGAGATACACAGCGGATAGTTTTTTTACCCTTTCACTCCACTGAAAATACTGAAGGCAAAAATAGATGAAACGCGTCTACACGGAGATGAAAAAGTATCCAAAATTAAGTACTTTTCCCTCAATTCCCGGGTTCAGCCCAATAACCCAAATTTGAGTAAATTGCATGTAGTAGTTTCCATTCAACATCAGCAAAAAATACTTACTCTTAAGTATATTTTACCCAAAATTAAGTTTAATTTACATAAAATTTGAGAATATGCAATTTACTCAAAAGTAACTATATTGGGCTGAACTATATCATTGGATCGCATCTCTCGTTCCTTTTTTGACAAAAATAACGGGTGCAAGTGAGAGGCTCAACTCAAAATAGAGTAAAAAGAACTCAAATTTTGGAAGATATTTTTTCTCCGTGTACAAAGCATCTGTAACTCTTTAGTCCGGGGGAAGTCCTAAAAGCAAACGTCACTGAAGGCGCGAAACATGGCGACTTTTTTATTATTCGGTCGCTCTACCGAAAATTCACGTAGCCAACTGTCAACCTTTTTGTAAAAATTCCATGTCCGTAAGCGAACTAGTTTTCTAAAAGGGTGTATACCCGTACACGAAAAAACAAAACTACCCAACAGTTGAGTTATTTTATCTTAGTATTTAGAAATACCTCTGATGTTAAGAAATTCAAAACAGCTAGTGAGTACATAACACTACCATTTATAGCTAACACGAATGTTTACATTCGCCATGTATGCAGACATGGCACGAATTGATTGAAATTTTGAAATTTGCTATAAGCTACAATCGGTTCAGAATATTTTTATCTATCCATTGCAATAGAACCGCAAACTTCTCAAGTTTTGATGAGCATTGCAGTATTTAAAAAATCTTTTGATTCTGAAAATATTATGAACTGAAATAGAGTAAATTTTTGACATTGGGGGTTTGAAAATCAATCGAAAGTTTACCGGTTCGATTTTTTCCGGTGCGTTTTGATTTTTCGAATAGGAAGCCATCCACAAATTATGTAAGGGTTTTTGAATGATCATTCAATCCCCCTCCCGTCCTTTTAAGACTGTAAAATTTGCAGTTCGCAACCCTTCCCCCGAATTCTTTCTAAGATTTTAAAATTTTCAGAAGATCGTTAGATACCGATTTGGGTAAATTTGTACATGCATTTGCGTATTTAATGTATTTTGAGGTGTTTTGGCATTAAATCGCTTAAGATAAAATTATGTTTTAATTTTTCAACCCTCGTCTCCCCCCATTCCGTTACTAAATTTGTGGATGTTCCTAAGTGTTGGAAAAGAAATAAATAATCCAAGAAAATCTTTTTTTTTCCAACGATTTCATAGAAAATTAGCATGTAACAATACGCTTTCAATCTCATCGAAGAAAGTTGAACTCCCAACAAAACCAAAAGGTTGATTTTCTGCGGCTTTGAGTCCATCTTTCTGCGATGATGTCCCAAAAAAAATTAATTTACCCGTCCATATTCTCTAAAAAACTTGAGCGGTTACGGATTCCGAAGACGGTCGTTGGAGATCAGCTTTGGGCCTCGTATGACTGCCGGAAACAAGAAATAAATCAAATTCAAATAAATAAACCAGCTTGCTGCTGCGTATCATCAATTTCTGGTCAATACATAAATCCTTTTTGACCACTTGGTCGATCATAATATTACTATCTAATAACTAGTGAATTGGATCGATATTTCGACGCTTAGAGTTCATACCTCAAACCCTAAGGATTCAAACTCCCAGTTTATTGCGCGAGAATTAAAGCGATTTCATTACGTCGATTACGCAAACCGTAAGACTTCTTTTCATAATCATCTAGTCATCATTCACTGATCTTTAAAAAAAATAGCTTATAATTATAAAGCAAAGATTTCTATCGAAATTTTGACAAAATACAAATCAACAACATTACACCATAAGAAAATAGAGTCAACCAAAATGGAGAACTTATTATATTCTTTAATGTCCTTCACTGATAAAACATCAAAACGCCCTCTCATAACCATTAACAAGTGTAAAATTCTGAATTGATTCAATTTTTTAATGTTTAGAATATTTGTGAACATTCTCCATTATAGCAACATAATTTCAGCCGGTAGTGTACGGTTCATCCAGATATAATCCAGCTCACTGAACTGTTGCAAACATGTTAAATACCCAAGTAACCACCAAGCCCGCTAACTACCCGAAATCGCCCTTTTTGCGATATAAGGTAAATATAGGGTTTCCGAACTTTATATCAGTCGTATAGAAGCGATTAACGGGCTTGTTGGTTACTTGGGTAGTACGTTACAATAATGTAGCTATTTTTCAAGATATCATGAAAAGTTTACAACATGTATTTTTTACGTTGCAGATGAGTGGATATTAAAATAATCATTAATTATATTGAATATTGAACTACAACAACACCGCAACGATTTGTCAACATAACGTATTATCGATGGTATCCATGTTCGAGTTATGTTATATAAGTAGCAAATGCGTAGTTTGAACAATCATATAATTTGTAGAGTATGTGCGTGCTTTAAACGTCACTTGTCAGTAGTAATGTGACATCGAGTGGTAGTGACATCGGTGCAGCTCCTCCGCCAGCAGCCATCAGGTTTCTTCATTATGAGCCACTAGTTCTGGCAATCCACCCGCTATTTGGTGCCGTTTCCAGTTCGCCAGCAGTTCCGGCAAATACGAGCTCCGTCTCTAACGGATCCTCAACGGCCACATCTCCGTTCGGCGGTATCAACATATTTGCTGCCCCCAACTTACGCAACAACCAATCCATCGTCACCTCAGGCTTCTCACCGTTCTATTTAGCCCTTTGGAACACCCGGTCAGTTGAGAGACTACGGCCACGCGCTACGAGAGACAATCACGCTTATCACTACACCACCGAATCCGCTGAAGTTGAATTATATTTGAGTTCCGTTCACTCAAATCCGCAAAAACGCAGGTTACTCAACACAGCAAACAAATAATTTTGATATCACAGTGGATTTGAAGTGCATCCACTGTCGAAAATATGGTGTAATATTACTTGCCAAAAAGGACAAAATTATCATTGATGCTGTGTATGAACTGACATTACGCTGCTTTTACTGCATTTGTTTATTTTTGTGGGCATAAGTGGAGTGGAGTGGAGTGGAGTGGAGTGAAGTAAAATTAAAATTTATTTTTTGCTGTGAAGGACTGAGTAAAATTTTCCTCGATTTTCAAGGAAAAACTTTGCGTTTAGTGTCTTTTCGACAAAGTAAAATTTTCGTCGATTTTCTTCATATTCGAGCAGATTTATAAGGAAAAGCCGAGGGGGACGATTCTATCTACGATGCAGGAAAGATTTTGTTTTAATGTGGTTAGCTGAGTAGATAGAAAGAAGATTA